GGCGGTTATGCGTAGTAATGAGGGAAGTTCAGGTGAAGTATCAGGGTACCACCCCGGAAAGCAACCCCCTAGCTTGCTTGCTCAGCGTTAAATGCCAATGTTTTATACCTCCTTGCTGAAAAAACAGAGTTCATTGTTCCCCACAGCATTGTTGTCACCCAATGTCATCTCTGAGATTGGACATCATTCTGCAGCAGCCCTCTCACACTGCTCAAGAGAGTAAAAAGGAGAAATTGATTAGGACACAAACTGTAACTCATTTATATGAAGATGGCTCTGTCAGGACCCACTTCGTATGAGCTGAATCCAGACAAGTCTCATGTAGGACCGGTCTGCTTTACATAAATGAGTTGGGATTCCATCTCTAACCCTCTTCTCTCTATCGGTTATCGCAGGGTGCTTGGGACAAAGGGGAGGCAACAGAGAGGCAGAGACTGACCAGAAAGCATTGTGAAAGACACTGGAAGTGATTTGAGCAAAAGTTTTAAAATTTCACTTTAATTAAATACATAAAAGCTTTTCCGTCTAGGGGCTATGTCTATCATCTTGAAGTGCTCACTTTATGTACATTTCTAATGAGCATTAACATACTCAACGTGAAAAGCAAAAAAAAAAAAAAAGGCAAAAAGGTATATGGCGAGCTATAACCTGCCTAGTTCATTACAAGGGACATTGGATACAACAATTAGAGAATTAAAAGATGTACTTCACCATGGGCGGATCCAATAATTCTATTCAGGTAGAGCCATTGTTTTAAATATCCCCAATATATCCCAATATATGAGCCAATATATCCTTTTATAAGGCTTTTTGCAAAACAATCTGGTCTCAATATCCTTTACCGATTTTTGGTAATTTTTGGGCAATATATCCCTAGTATGGCAGATATATTAGCGAATGTGTTGGCCGATATGATGATCTATATATTCATTTATATACATTGTTGCAAAACAATTTAGTTTTTTATAAAAAAAAATTCTATCCCTAGAATGTTTTTTAGCAAAATTCTAGTAGGGTCTTTTTTCAGTATGTTTCTACAATTGTTTAGTGATCTTAAACATATATTGTTTACATTTTGCATACTTAGATATTATTAATATGTTTAGATTATATTTCAGGATATTATATTATATATGCACGCCATCCAAGTATCCAATATGACACTCCGATATTTACTACATAACCCTGATATTTCCTCGATAATCGCAATCTGATATGGATATTGACCATCCGATATTTCACCAATATCCAATATTTAAAACCTTGAGGAAAATACTTTACTAAGAGTGAAGTCCATATGATAATAATATACGTACACATCGTGATAGTTATGTCAACTATAACGTAAATTCAAATGGGTAATTGCAAGGAAAATATTCATTGCACTCGGTTCATGGCATCAGCGATTCAGCGGAGCATCAAAGGATACCAGCACTTGGATTACTGGACATAGAAATTTGTGCAGTATCTAAGGGTTAATACCTCTTAGGTACACCATTAATACAATGAATACGTTAAATCAGATACTTTGTCTCAAAGTGAAATAACAAATCATGAACACAATGTATGTCATTAAGACTAAAACAAAATTATATTAATATTTGTTTTCACATTGAGAAAGGTTATGTTTCATGAGTGAGGTAGTGAACACATTGTATGTCATTAAGACATGAACACAAAGCATGAACATATAGTATGTCATTAAGACTTAAACAAATTATAGTGATATTTTTGAACATTGAGAAAGATTATGTTTCATGAGTGAGGTAGTGAACTCATTTTTTATAGTGGAAGGCATTGCAGAACAAAAGATCCCAATTAAAATTAGGCACACTTCCTTACACATAGTAATAAGTGAATATGAATCAAAGATTCAAAAAATGCAAATAGGTGTCTAATTGAGATTGGGCATGTGCCCAACATCAAACATATGTAGTTTCACTGTTGTACTTCACTAAAAAATTCAACAAAATACTTGGAAAAAAAACTTGCAGAGAGGCGTGACCACAAATTCATGAAGCTCAAGATACAAAGATAATATAGAATATTTTGCCATCAAGTCACACATGTTGTATGTTGTTTCCTTCCTCTGGCACTCTTTTA